AGAATAAGAGCTCTTATGGCCCTACTGTTTGAAATGCCATTTCTAGAGCTTTGGGTTTTCTTCTAAAATGTTCCAAGAAAATTCTTGCCAATGCATCATATATTTTGCACCCTAAGCAAATACAAAGTCAAATCATATCCTTTTCCTAGGGAGAAATCTGTCCCTCATCACCAGCCTCATCACACACAAACAACCTAATGCATTTGCCAAGTGAGATGAAAAAGGAGTCAAGGCCAGCGTTTCAGGCAGGGCTGCCAGAAGGCAGACACCATCCTGGCATGAAGCAGTTATCATGTCCCCTAGGGCTGGGGACACAGAAAAGTGGGGATTACGACAAGTTAGAAACTTGGAGACGGGATCCCCAGGAGCTGGGACCCAGGTCTTTTCGGTAGGAGCTCTGGCCAGCCGCTGTTGATGTCTTTGAAGGAGTGCCGTGAGGCTGGTCCTAGGGGAGAGGGGAAATCATAAACTAAAAGAAGCTGCTGTGATGTGGGCCGACTGTCGCTGCCCGGGTGGAGGCCAATGGTGCCGAAACATAGACCAGGAAAAGGGAGCAAACTTTTAAGAAAGAGACTAGAGGGCTGGAGGAGGAAGAAGTTGAGGAGGAAAAGGGAAGAAGACAGCAAACTAGCACAAAGAGAAATGTGGTTTGCGAAGTCCCAGCCAGCCCTGGTATCAAAAAGCAGAGTACAGAAGAGTATGTTTATAGCTGAGAGACAACAGCCTTTGAGAAAGGTCTGGAGGATGATTTACAGTGTGCCCTTGCGGCAGTACTGAAGGGTAACAGGCTGCTTCCCCAAGGGGACCTGACCTCCCCTTCAGTCAGAAGCTCCCCGTCTATGGATGGGCCTCCACCTGGAAACTGGTGAAAGGTCATAACTCTCCATTGTTGTGACTCAAGTTAGGTTTCTGGCTCCAGACTTGGAATTTTACCTTCTATGCAGTTCATGTAACGTTTTGTAGGCCACCCGTCTACTTTATCCCCAGGGACACTGTAATCCATGAGGCAGTGCCAAAGATCCCAGCAAGCCAAAACATTCTCTGCTATGTCTTCCACTACCCATAATGGAACATATGCCCACCTTGCCTCCTGTGGTTACGTGCTGCCACTAGACTTTAAGTCAGGAAGCCTACCCTAAGGGTAGCATCTCTCACCATCATAAACAGTCTAGACAAGGCAGGTGCCAGAGATTCTCAAGGATATGTCTCCTCTCAGTGATATACTTCTCAGTGCCTTCATGAAAAGTGTATCTTCTGTGCCCCCTTGAAGAATGCAATAGAGGGGCGGGTGTGCATATTGCACATAATACATCCAGTCCGATATTCCTATCTTCCTAAGCCTTCAGATTTCTTCCTCAATATGTGAGGAAAGTTCCAGCAACTCAATCTTATGAAATATAAGGCTACCTCTGAGTCCAAGTTTCAGCCAACTAGGTAGGAATTTAACACTTCAGATTCAGAATTTCTTGAGAATACACCCAGATCAAAAAATCTGGTCTGATCGGATCTAGTGTTACATTCTGTCCTCCTTAGCCTAACCTATTTACAATCCATTCTCACATATATTTCCAAAGTTCTCAAATGATACACATTAGCAAAATGTTATAATTCTTTTAGAGGCTAGGCTATTTCTAACCAGGTCAGATTTTTGTCCCTGAGCCTCCAAGCAAAACATAACAGAGGCAGGTCTTGAGTATAGATGCCCTTTGCAAAGCAAGTGCCCTAGACAGGGTTATAACAAAATCTTTGAGAAAGTCAGTTTTCTCCAACATGGAAAGCAGGCTGCTTGGATTAACAAGAAAGGCTCAGAATGACCTGGGGTTTTAAGATTCTCAGCTTTGTCCAAGTCTATTGAGATGTTCCCATTTCAAGTTTCAGGGGTCCACTTCTTTCTAATCAGTGTCCTAAATGAGACATCTACAAGGCTGTGTAATTCTATTATCAGCACAATTAAAACTGTGTTCAATTTTTAGTTTTGTGGCTACAGGAAATAAAGTGCTTTAGAACCCTGTATAGAAACTCTCTGATTCTCTAAGACTTATCTGAGAGAGGACCTGAGTTTGTCAGTTTTGTTCTTAAACTACCCCAGTGACCTCAAAAGCAACCACCCCACCCACCCCTCAGTCCTGCAGTCATGATTACTGCCATATGGTCAAGTGCATTAGCCGCCTGGTCCCCCAAGGCACTTGCTTCAGAAATCATTTTAGCACAATCACCCAAAAGTGGTGAGTGATTTTGACTAACAGTGACGCCAATGTATGCAATGTATTACTAGAAGCATATTTCCCATTGGCAAGGGGCTGAAGAAATGACCAGACCAATCTCCCAACACAATCTTTGAAGATTTTCTCCTAGGATCCCACTCTTAGTAATAATTTCTTCATTGATATCTTTGTCAGTCCAGTCAAGAGACCAAAACCACATCAGTTATTTTAACAGAAATCATTTAATATAAAAAAATGTTAACCAGATGTTAAAGAATTGAAAAAGCAAAAATGGGATACTGAGTATCAAAGAAGTAGTGACAGTAAGAAGCAACTACCATTCCTAGGACAAGAAATAGAGGAAAAAGAGTTACTAGAGCCTAGAAGTTTGGAAGAAGGACCCCCATGGAGCTGGGACGCAGATCTGAGGAGAGGGTATTGGTATCTTTGAAGGGGTGCAATGAGGCTGCTTCTAAGAGAGTAGGAAACTATAAAATGAAAAAACTGGCACCAACTGTTAGTATCAGAGTGAGGCACTATTGCTGTGGTGAGACAGGCAAGAAAAATAATCAAAGAGGAAGCAGTCTTGTTCTCTAGCCTTACACTCTCCCTCCCCTACAGCAAAGCCTCATGGGCTGCCAGCTAGCAAAGAAGAAATGTGACTTAGGGGTTCTGCCTCAGATTCACAAACCACAATATATAACAGTGGTATGAAGCTGAGAGACAATAGCTTAATAATCTGTAGTCAAGAAGAAGCAGGGAGTAGCTGCAGAGTCAGGGTCTCTGATTATCTGAAACTATTTAAAAAAAAAATGTATATGGCTTGTTGGTCTCCTTTCAGCACAGTGCCCAGCAAACAACAGGAGTTTAATAAATGTGAGCTGCTAGGGCTCACAGAAACCACCATGTAGTTAAACAGAAATACCATACTTCTAGCTGCATAATTCTTCACTATTGCTACTGGGGTTCCTATGATCAGAAATTCTTGTTCTTTCTCCACTCCCACACAGTGCAGCGGGACAAGGAGAACAGTGAAAAGAAGAAATGGGAAGGAAACTCAGAACTGAACTGAGGTTAAGAACCATGAGAGAGAAGACAGAGGACAACTAGGAATTATACTTTGGAAAGTTAAAAAAGAAATAACAAGGGTGAAGAGTACAGTGGATTAATGGATTTGCCTTCAGCCTAGGGTACTATTAGAAAGTTGTTTTAAGGAGAGCTAGATGGTTTTCATTGTTTCTACTCAATCAATCTGTGACCTTGGCTTAGGTTAGCAAATAAATGCTAGTAAAAAGTTTATCTACATGGATAGAGCTAACCCAGATGGAGAGAATAGTTGGGTGAGGCTCAAGATAAGTGGTTCAACCCAAATCAGGATGAAAGTGACTAGCACTGACATGGTCTTGCAGCCTCAGAAATGTTTAGCCCAGAATTCCAGAAGTTCTACAATTACCTAGGCTTCTGCCCTTCGAAAAGCCATACCTAAATGTAGTATCAGTAAGTCTTCAAACAAGTCTCAAACCTGGCTGAGCCAGGATTTGAACCTAGGTCTGTCTGCTACCAAAGTCTGTGTCTTAACCACTGTAAACATGATGTTTCTGGCCACCCTTCACACACAGATGCTGCCGTCATTATCGACATGGCCTTCACTCATCTAATTAGTTGGCCCACTGGAAAATTAAAATTAAGGATATAATGCAATTATCAACTAATTACTTATTTCCCTTAGTAGAGAAAAATTGTATTTCTTTAAGAGAATAACATTAACATTACAGTTACTTAAAAATCTTGTGTTAAGACTACTTTTCTCAACTGGGCAACAACTTCCTAATTCCAATTACATTCTTGAAGAACAACAACAATAAAGTCTGATGGGCCAAGAATAACAAATTGTGTAAAGTTGGTCTTAATCTTTTCCCATACACAAACAAGGAATTTTATGGTCTTCTGCTTACAGTGAGGGGAACAGTGAAAAATGTTAAAGCTTTCCTAAGTTCCTAAAGATGGCATATGATGTCACAAAATGACAAGGGTTTGTGTCCTTTCTTTAATCACTTATACTGTGATCAAAGGGTATTTTTAAAATCGTTTTACACAGCCTGCTTTATTCACTAACATGTCTCTGCTCATGTTGCATTCTCTGAAATGCTCTATTCCCCACCACACACGCAGTACTCCATTTATTTTTTAAAACACTTATTCTTCACAATTTAGCTCATGTCTCTTTCTTTAACGGATGGACTAGTAAAATGATTTCAACTAGCTCTATCTATAAGGCTTCTCTAAACACGATACAATGGAGTTCTATTACAAGTGCCGCTGAGGCCAAGTGCTCAGTCCAGAAGTACAACAATCAAACTTGTTTACTGTCCATGTCTGTGCACTGTACCGCAGCTCACTGGACACTTTGAGCACATAGTAGGCCCCAATCCGGGACAGAAACCTTTTGAACAAGCACTCACTCCCAACACCAAGGCCAGGCACTTACCCCCTGGCACCTTTCTTATTACCCAGAAACAAAGCTGGGTAAATAAAAGACCTCAATCCGGCACCAACCCCCTTTGCCAGCAGCGACCGGGATCGTCCACGGGCAGTAATGCGCGGCAGTGATGCAGGTGTGGTGTCCACCTTGTTTTCCTCGCCGAGACAGTTGGAACCCTCCGCACCGGCTCCGCGACAGCCCCAGGTACTCCAGCGCCGCAGCGTCCCCACTGGGATGCCCCCAGCAGCTCACCGCGACCCTACTACCTAGCTGTCTGCCCCTCCGTCTCTTGCCACTAGCTCTGGGGCACTTACCATCCCAATACCAAGCAGGCGGTCACGATGAAGCAGGTAAAGACCACCGCGATGTAGAAATGCGGCGAGTACTCATAGAGCGTTACTAGAAACACCGCAGCCATCTGGGTCTCCTAAGCTGAACTGGGCTTCGGCGCCCAGCCCAACTCAGCCCGCTCCGCCAGGGTAAAAGCCACTACGGTGCCCCGCAGCGGACAAACTTCGTACCTCCGCCCTAGCCTGCGGTCCTGATAAACTGGACGTCGGGGCAGCCTCGCAGGCTGACGGAGGAGACGTGCCTACCACCACGTCATATGCGGGGCTCGCCCCGCCGTCCCGAGTTATTGGCGTCCCCGAGGGGCGGGACCCTGATTTGCTCCGCCCCAACTCATGGGATTGGTTCCCAGCGAGCGTCTTCTCCGCCCGTCTGTTTCTCCGCCCGCCTGTTCCAGCCCCCGCTTTTCTGCGGCAAATTCTAAGGATCTATAGACTTGGGGTCAGCTCTGTCCAATACTCAGCTAAGGTTTTCTGATGACAGAGAGAGGAAGCACAATCCAAAATTCACGTAACAGAGCTTAAGTCCTGAATCCCTACAGATTAAAGCCGAGGCCAATTTTGGAGGAGGGGGAAGGCCGTCATCTTGGGTTCTACAAAGTGAAATAACCCCGTATCTGCTCTTGTTTTATTTAGAAAACTTAGAACAAGCGCTGTACGAGAGGAGCCTCACATGCAATTTAGACGAGCCTTGTCAGCCTCTTCAAGTTGGATTTAATGGTAGAGGAAAATTAGCATCGCGTATCACGATGCTCATAGAAATAAATTAGCTGTCCTCTCACATCCCCTTCTTTTTTTTTCTTCCCCCAACATCTATCAAACTAGAATTAGATATTTGAACTTTCTGTGTTAATTTTCACTTTAATACTAATTAAATATGTGTCGTGTGTATGTATGTATTCATACTTTTTTTTAGCTTGAGCGGAAGTTTTTAAGTACATCGTTTTTCTTCATTCCCGTTCAATCCACTCCATTATGTTAGCCTCCCTGGAAGTCTCTCACAACACTCCCACTGACATTTTATTAGTTTGCATTTAGTCCTAAGGCCACACATAGCTACCACAGAGACTGGGAAATGTAGTCTGCTATTCTGAGCAGCTACATCCCTGCTACAAATTTGGGTGGGGCTGGGGGTGGGGTTACCAAGGAAGGAAGGGACGAAGGACCTTGAGATAGATAACTAGTGGTCACTCCACACTTCCAAATCACCAGTAAAATTAGTGCTGGAGGAAAATGGGGTAAATTTGTTCTGTGGCTTCAATATCCTTTGGCAAATACTATGTATTGGGTATTCTCTGGAGTAGGACTGTGTGAGAAGCTTGGTTTAACAACATTTTTAATGACTACATACATGATTTCTGAAAGTATATAGTTTATCAGCCCCCAATTGTCAGACAATCTTTAAAGTATAAATAACACTGTAATGAACATTCTTAAAGCTAAATCATTTCTTTGGAATAAATTCCCAGAGGAGGATCCTTTGGTTCAAAAAGTATGTACATTTTAAGCCTTTAGAAAAACACTGCCCTCCAGAAATATATCAATTTATGCTACCACCCTTTCATCCTTAGTTTTGCCATCACTTGACAGTGTCACTTAACAAAAATTTTGGCCAATATGAAAGGCAATTTTATTGCCATAAATAATAAAGAATTTTTATAATGAAAACAAAAACAGGGAGTTCCAAGTTAAAGTGGTTTTATTAACTATATACCTATAATATGTATCTCTCCCAAAATTCTTCTAAAACTATTGTAAAGGGATTTTAAAAAATAACTAAAAAAGGAAGAACAGGAAATAAAATAATAGCAGCAACATATTGAAAGATGAAAAACAGATGAACAAGGATAATTCACAAATCAGGCCATGAAAGTCAAATTCCAAACCAGCAGTGGGGAAAACTTGAGACCAAACCTGATTAACACTGAAGAATTCACAAAAAGAGCAGGTGCTAACACAAATTTAACTCAAGTTCTTATTATTTCCCACTTAATATCTGCTAAGACCATTGAAACTTGTTACTTTATTTCCAACATAGATTCATTTAAAGACAGATCTTATTTTACTCCATTACCAGAAATCCATGATTGTCATGTTATATATGCTTGAGAATTAAATCCCAAGTTCCTTGTTTGGCATATTCACCTCTACATGACCCGATTCCCACTTACCTCTTACTCATTCAAAAACTGTTTCTTTTTCTTTTTTTCATCCTTACCTGAGGACATTTTTTTTAAGATTTTTAATTTATTTTTTTGGGGGGGGAAAGGGAGGGAGACAGGGAGAGATACATCGATGTGTGAAGGGAGGGAAACATCCATTGGTTGCTCCTTAAATGCCCTCAGCTGGGGCCCTGGCCTTCAACCAGGCGCGTGCCCTGACCGGGAATCGAACCAGCAAGGTTTCAGTTTGCGGGCGAGCACTCAATCCACTGAGTCATACCAGCCAGGGCACCTGAGAACATTTTCTTCATTGCTTTTAGAGAGGAAGGAAGAGAGAAACAGCAATGTGAGAGAGAAACATCAATCAGCTGCCTCCCATATCTACTGGGACCAGGGATTGAACCTGCAACCCTTTGGATATGGGACCACACATCAACCAACTGAGCCACACTGGCTAGGACCAGAAACTGTTTCTTGAGTGTCAGATATGTTCCAGATACTGTAGAAGACATTAGGATACAAAGTAAGCCAAAAATTACATACCTCTGCTCTTGTTTATCATCTAATGGAAAGGACAAACATTAGCCAAAAAATCTTGAACAAAAGATAAATCAAAATTATGATAAGTGCTATTAAAAAGAGCTACATGAAGCTATGAAAGCATATAATGGGGGAATGGGGAAATATATGGTTGACCAAGGAAGGCTTCCCTGAAGAACAGATTATTAAGCTGAGTGCTGATGGAGAGAAGTCTACCAAGCAAAGGAACAGGAGGGGAGAAGGAGCATGTAGGACAGAAGCTACAGCATGTGCGGGGGGACCCCAAGGTGGGAGAAATCATAACATACCTGAGAAAATGAAAGACCAGTGTGACTAAAACATGGAGAGTGGGGAAGAACATGCTATGAGATGAAAATGGGGATACGCAGGGCCCAGGTCATATGGGAGTCTTGTCATTTTAACTATTCAGCTCTAAGAGTGGTGAGAGGCCATGGATATGACTGAAGAAGGGGAGTGTTATGGACTGAATTGTGTCCCCCAAAATTCATATTTTGAAGCTTCAGCCCCCAACGTTGCTGTACTTGGAGATGGGGCCTTTAAGTGAAGTCATAAGGGTGAGGTCCTAATCCAATTGGACTGGTGTCCTTATGAAAAAAAAAAAAAAGGAAGAGTCATTGTTCTCCATGTACGCTCATACAGAGAAAAGGCCACGTGAAGACACCGCGAGAAGACGGCTATCTGCAACTCAAGGAAGCCTGCTGGCACCTTGATGTTGGACTCTTGGACTTCTAGACTCCACAACTGTGAGAAAATTATTTTTGTTTTTGCCACACGGTTTGTGTTAGTCTATTATGGCAGCCTAGGCAGGAATGACATTCAGTTTGCATTATGAATCAGTTATTTTGGCTCTTGTATACAAAAGTCATAGATAGGAGGCTGCCATGGATATGAGTAAATATGAGGATATCGATTAACAGCTTCTTCTAAAATTCCAGCCAAGAAATATTGGTAACTCTCATAGTGATGAAGTCTTACAGGGAAATTGATTATTAGTAGGAAATTATTTGAGTGACAAAAATATAATAACAGTATCTTACTTGAGATACATTATTTCAGTTTTAAGTGAAAGTCTGGAGATAGGTAATGCAGGACTGATACAGTACTCCACAGCACAAGGGACCCAGGCTTCTATTTTGCTTTATGTAGCTCCATTTCCCAAGGTCACCTCATGGTCCAATATGTCTGCTGCAGCTCCAGCCATCATGTTCATATTCCTGCCAGCAAAAGGGAGGAAACATAGGGGAAGAATGAGACTCCACTTCAATTTAAGGAAGCTAAGGATACAGCACAGATTCGATTGTCCAAAACTAATCCTCATGTCCCCATTTAACTGCAAGGGAGGCTGGGAAATTGTCTTTGTTCAGAGTATCTGGCTAAAAGTAGAGGTTTCTATTACTTATAGAAGGAGAAAACAATAGTTTGAAGGAGAACTAGGAGTCTCTATCGTAAAAGTATTGATGGTGGATCGGATTGGGGCATGAGAGAGGGACAGGAGTTGAAGTTTCTGGCTTCTTCCTCCAGATGAATGGATGTAGCTGTCATTCACTGAAATTAGATCCTAAATCTCTAATATCTCACTACTCATCCCTGTCCCTCTTCCCTTATCCCCTGTAAATACTAATCACCAACCTACTGAATTAATCTTCTAAAAATACATTAGATACATTAGAGATGGATGTGGGTATGTAGAGCCTGAAGCACATACCACTTAGGGGACCCATTCTAAGAGATTAAACACAAAATTACAAATACAAACTAAATATAAGGGCCTGGAAGGGCCCCAAGCAAGTGAAGTTCCCCAAAATGTAAACATCATTCATTTTAGGGTGCTTTAAGCCCCACCTTTATCACCCAGAACAAAATTGTAAGATGACATGGATTGTTAGATGCATCCTGATTTCAGAGAAATTAAAATGTGGGGAGAAATGAATCTCAAAGTCAGTGAAATAAGCTATTTTCACATCTCAGAATTGGCCATTGTATTAGGGTTCTCCAGAGGAAGGGGTGAGGACAGAGATATGTAGGTAGATATAAATATTGGGAGAGAGATTGATTAATTTATTGCAGGGAATTGTCCTACATGATTATACAGGCTGAGAAGCCCCACAGGCTGCCATCTACGAGCTGGAGATCCAGGAAAGCAGTGGTGTAACTCCAATTCAAGTCTAAAGGCCTGAGAACCAGGGAAATCAGTAATATAAATCCCAGTCCAAAGGCAGGAGAAGACCAATCTTTCAGCACAAGCAGGCAGGCAGGAAGAAAAAGCAAGGCGGGCGGGGTTGGGGGAAGACAAATTCCTTCTTCCTCTTCATTTGTTCTATTCAGGCCCTCATCTGGTTGGACAATGTTCATACACATTGGGGATAGTAATCCATTAAGTTGACCAAAATGTTTATTTGTTTTTTTTCCCCATAAGATGGCTCTGTTAGTGCTTCGTTGTCTTTAACTTCATTCAAAACACTTTTGTTAGATTGTAGTGTGACAGCTGTCCTATCAGCGTGCTTTTTAAAAAAAAGTGTCAAAATTGATGAATTTTTCTGTAGCCATTTTAACATTGAAGATGGAAAAAATATGCAACATTTTCAGCATATTATGCTTTATTATTTCAAGAAAGGTAAAAATGCAACTGAAACTCAAGAAAAAATTGTGCAGTATATGGAAAAGATGCTGTGACTGATCTAACATGTCAAAAGTGGTTTGCAAAGTTTCGTGTGGGAGATTTCTCACTGGATGATGCTCCATAGTTGGGAAGACCAGTTGAAGTTGATAGAGATCAAATCTAAACATTAATTTGGAACAATCAACATTATACTATGTGGGAGACAGCCAACATTCTCAAAATACCCAAATCAATAAAGTTATTGGCGAAAGTGAAAAATGTGTCTTTCATTTTATGGAAAATATTAAATGAACTTTCTAGCCAACCCAATACTTTGCCAAGTACACTGATTCAATGCTAATCCCATCCAGAAACACCCTCATAGACACACTCTAAAATCCTATTTAATCTGAACACCCCATAGAGCAATCAGGGTGACAAATAAAATGAATCATTACAGCTTTGAGCATATGCTCTTTCCTTTGACTGAAAAGCCCTTCTTTCCTCCTCCTTCTGGCAAACATCTAGGTATCCATAAGGCTCATCTCTGAAGCTCCGTTCTTTGAGAAGCCTTTCTGAACACTTCCCAACCCTTGGGGAGAGACCTCTCTAATAACACCCAGAGTGGATCTGTGTGGAGGTTCCTTGACTGTGGTAGAAGCATTTGCCCCCTAGTCTATGTAGCTTACTAGGTCCCCAGCTCCCTGAGCGCAGGAATGACACCTAGTTGATGTGTGAGCCAAAAGTACCTGACATACGTCTTGTAGCATCTCAATACATGTTTATGGAAAAAAGGGAGAAAAAGAAGGAAGGGAGGGAGGGAAGAAAGGGATAGAAAGAGGGAAGTTCTTTTCCATGAGATACCTTGGCAGCCCAAAGGATCTATATTGGGCTAAAAAATGTGTAACTCTCAGATGAACAGAAAGAATGGCTCTTTTTTATTATCCATAACTGATTTAGTTTTGCTCATGAAACCTCACACCACTGAGTAGTGGGAGGGAGGAAAAAAGAGAGGATAATGGAGGGCTAGTAAGCCTAAATTTATCAATTAAAATTATCCTAGTCTCCCTGACTTTAACTGCCTCTTTGTGTAGCTGGTCTCTTTCAGGGAAATTCTTAGTCTCTCATTCCTCCCTATTCTCTTGCTTCTCCCTAAGATGGTACTTTAGGGATACCTTCTGTACTGGGTATTCACATGATCTCATGGTAGGGTTGGGAAAATGAGGCCTCAGCTCTGCACAGCATTTGTGAGTCCTCAATGTGGTAACGCAGGTTTCCTTTGGCCTTTTGGGGCACCAGATGGCAACTACTCCTGAGACCAAGAGTTCCAGTCATTTACCTCTGGTTGTAAAGCCTTAATACACTATGACCTATTAGCTCTGCCAGTTTACCAGGTTGTTCTTCATCTCCAATTTTACTTCCTGAGGGAATTGTGAATATGTAAATTCTCCTACATGTCACCTGCAGGCCACTGAGAATCAGCAATTATCTCAGGATACGAAACTGGGCCATCTTTGTCACTGAACACTGTTGTTCCTGAGTCATGTTCAAGGGGGTACAGAGCCAAATGCAATGCCTCTCCTCCTTTCTCAGAGGGGCAGACTACCAATTCTCTGGAGATTCTCCAATACCGCATTGTGCTTTTCTACAATCTCCCATTGCCCCCCATTCTGAGACTTCAGTCAGAACAGGTTGGGTATGACTGCGTGCTGTCCTTATTCACCAGACCAGAGTGGAAAGACTGTCCCTCCTTCTCATCCAACAGGAAGTCCCCTTATGTCATAGCTTCCATTTTCTCTACCATATGGCATGTACTAAATGACACTTTTAATTGTGCCAAGGTTTGGATTTTGAAATGTTAATAGAACTTCAAAGCTTTATAAAATCTTTCGCTCTTAGTACTGTCTGGCTTTTCCAAGAGTACTGTGTTTCTTGGGACCCAAAATCCTATTTTGGTAGTCAAAAGCTGCTTCCCCGCCCCTGCCCCGGGGCCCCCGCATTCCCAGCATTACAGCTACGTTTCTCCTTTGAGTCTGATAGATGCTTCTGGCCAACCAATGAGAGGGTTTCATAAGGGAAATTCAAAATTTATTAACATGTTTTCAAAAATTATCATCACATTATATTTTTCTTGCAGCTGCCAATCTTATTCATTCATTTTATATGGCCTTTCTATGTCTCACATGATTGCCTGGAGGGCAAATTTATCTCTATTTTGGAGACACCAATAGGAATATAATAAGCACCATAACTTTAAGTTTCAAACTTTGAGGAACTGCACAATGGAATTGAATGAATGTGTCATTTGACTATGATCCTGTGGATGACAGGAATTGTGAAAAATCTTACAGTACCTAAGCAGAACCTAACCCTTTGAACCCGTTGAACTTCCAAGTCCCTCTAATAAAAAAATTCTCATGGTCTTAGATGTTGGGCTTCTGTCATCTATATACACTAAATGGCAGGGAGCTACCTGAAGGCTGCTCCAACTGAGCTGACACAGGTGATTAATATGGCACTTAGCCTGTGGCCCTAAGCTTAGTACATTCATTTATAACAGTGGCTCTCAATTGGGGATGATTTCCCACCCCTGCCTCCTGGCAACATGTGACAATCTCTGCTCACATTCTTGGTTGTCGTAAATAGGGAGGTGCTACTGGCCTCAAGTGGGTAGAGGCCAGGGATGCTGCTAAACACCTTACGATGCACAACACAGTCCACCCACAAAGAAGTATTATTGGACTCAAATGTCAAGATGCTGAAGTTGAAAAACCCTGTTACAGAAAATACTATTGAACTGAACCAAATTCTATTGATCTTGAATTTTGAGACGGCATTTCGGCACGGTTGCCCAGTCCCCGTCAGGCAGGAGCGTATAGGCGACCGAGTTCCGGCTAATTTTGAGCCGCGCCTCCCACCGTCCGCGGTCACGTGTCTGCCCGCCACGGTCGCGTTGATCAGTGGGGGTGGCTCTGCCAAGCGCCGGGGCTGGAAGGGAGGCGGCTGAGGTGCTATTCTTAAAGGGGCCCGAGGGAAGGCTAGAGGCTGCTGGCTGCCGGAAGGAAAATGGTGAGTTGCCGCCGGGGAGGGTGGGGGCCGGAGGGCTGGGCCAGCCCGCTGGGCTTTCCTGTTTGCCGGAGCCGGTCTCGACGGGCAGCGCCCAGGGTGGGCCGCCGGTCGCTTCCGCCCGGCTGCTGGCTGGTGCCCACAGCCAGAGGCTTGGCCTCTCCTTGTCCCCGCTGCTGCAGCCCCGCCTAGGGGCAACCTCCTTCAGCCAGCAGTCTCCTCCAGCCGGGCCCCGGGTAGACCACCCCCCCCGCCCTAGCGGGCTCTGGGACTGAAGTGCTATCCGTAGGGGTGGGCCATCCTCGCCAGGTCCTTCTGGATGGAGGGTTCCAGGTCCTGAACTGAAGTACTGGAGAGGCCAGGGGTCTGGCCCAGCGGAGGGATCCTCCAAACGCGGGTTTCACTACCGGGGACCGGCAGATGCCAAGCACCTTGCGCCCCGAGGCCTTTGCCAGGAGAGCTCGCTCGGGTGTTCCCATTTTATTCGGCCTCGCCGTAGCTTGTCTTCTTCCCTCAGTTTGCTTCTAAGTATCGTTGCTTTCTTCGAGTTACAGCAGTTGGAAACCTTTGACCCGAAAGTTTGGCCCTTGGTATTAAAGTGACTGTAAAGATCTTTAGTTTTACTGGGCCTATGGGGCTCCGGCTTCCTTTGGACCCTATGCTGAAAAATAAGTGGAAAATTAAGTCAGTTGCCCAAAAAGCGTCCTCTGGGTCTTTCCTATCAGGTTTTTAAATATGTAGGTCTTTAGAGACAAACAAAAGAGAAATCTCACTGACCTATCTCTGACCTCCCACTCATTTCTCAACCCACTTCCATCCAATACATGTTGTTATGGTTACTAAATCCAAGGGACTCTTCAATTCTTATCTTTCCTGACCTCTCAGCTACATTCCAGGGTGTTGACCACTCTCCTTTTTGAGACTTTCTGTTCCCTCCTGACTTCTGGGATACAGAATTCCTGTTGGCTCCCCCCTCCCCCACCTTCTTGCTTCTGATGGTACATTTTTGTCCTGTGCAGACTGTTCTCCTTCCCCGGAGCATCACATGTAGGAGTCTTAGTTTCTATCCCAATGCTTCATTTTCCATTATGTATGCTTTCTCCACCCCTTCCTACCTACAGTCACAGCTTCAATTCCTACCTATATGCACATAACTTGTGAAATTGTATCTCAGATTTTGCTTCTGAGATCTAGTCCAAATCTGTGTATCCCACTATTTAGTTAACATCCCCTGAGAAGCTTTTTTCCCTGCTGAGGTTCCTCAAAGCCACCTCAGTTTGTCCAGAATAGAACTCATTCTCTTTTCCCTCAAACCTTAATTTAGTGAAAGGTAGCACTACTTAGTCCGTTACACAAGTGAGAAATTTAGGAATCCTCTAGGTAACCCTTTGTCCTAACCCACCCCTCCCAATATGCAGTCGGTCCCTAGGTCCTTTGTAGTGATTAAAAGAGTGAGTAGGCTGGAGGTCAGGCTGCCTGGGATGATTCCTGGCTGCACTAACTAATTACACAACTTTGGGGAAGATGCTTAACTTCTCTAAACCTTGGCTTCTTGCAAAATGGTGATAATACCTCTCTCACAGGATTGTTTTGAGCATAAAGGGAGATCTACATGAAGGCCATAACACAATGTTTTTCTCACAGTGTTTAACACCTATTAACTATTATTAGCAGTACTCACCTACTTCTCTTTATCCTCATCAGCCTAAGCTGCTTTTCATCTTTCACCTGACCTAGTCTTGTCAGTTAACAAGTCTTGCTCTATTCATTCCAGCTCTCTGTCTGTCTGTTGCTTGCAAATCTGATGGTGTTCTCTTACACACCACTCCCGCCCCCACCCTTGCTTAAACACCTTAGTAGCTTTCCTTTGCTCAGAGGCTAGAAACCAAAATACTTAATGTGACCCACTGGGCCCTATATGGTCCGGCTCCTACCACCCCGTTTTGTGCCATGCTTCTGCTCCTTTGTGCTTGAGTCACATTGGCCTTTCATTATCTTTGATGTGCCGTGCTCACTTTAATCAAGGGGTCTTTGCCTAGGTAGTTTTTGTTCTTCGGGTGCTTTTTCAGGCATGCTGTTTTTCACTAGTCATAAGTTCTCATTATCCTGTGTCTCTTCTTCCCAGCTCTTATCACAGGTATAAACACGTATACTTCTTTTTTTTTTCCCCCTGATTCTTTTGATGTAGGTCTGTTCTCTACTGGACTATACTACAAGCTCCTTAGTAGTAGGTCTGTATTTTTTATTTACAGCCAGTATGCCACTTAACAAGAGGGATACATCCTGAGAAATGCGTTAGGTGATTTCATCATTGTATGAACATCATAGCATACACTTACACAAACCTAGATAGTACAGCCTACTACACATCTAGGCTATATGGTGTAACCAGCCTATGGCTCTAGGATACAAACCTATACAGCACATTACTATACTGAATACTGTAGGCAGTTGTAACACAATGGTAAGTAGTTGTGTATCTAAATATAGAAAAGGTACAGTAAAATTATGGCATAAAATAAAATGAGCTCCTCCCATAAGTGGCGTGAAAGGACCTCTGAAAATGATTCGCTGTTCACTTAACCCAGAAAACCCCGCAAATCAAGAGGTTCAAATCTTTGTGTTTACTTTAAGGACACTCATGAAACTGCCCAGGCCATCAAGGCATGCATAGCTGCAAAGCCACCAAGTATCTGAAGGATGTCACTTTGCAGAAGCAATCTGTGTTACTCCATGATTACGGTGGTGGAGTTGGTAGGTGTGCCCAGGCCAAACAGTAGGGCTGGACTCAGGGTTAGTGACCCAAAGAGAGTGCTGAATTTTTGCTGCACATGCTTAAAATGCAGAGAGTAATGCTGAGCTCAAGGATTTAGATATAGACTCACTGGTCACTGAGGACATCCAGGTGAACAAAGCTCCCAAGATGCAGTGCAGAACTTGCAGAGCTTATCAGTGGATTAACCCACAAATGAGCTCTCCCTGCTACACAGAGATGATCCTTACTGAAAAAGCAGATGATTCCTAAACCAGAAGAGGAGTTGCACAGAAGAAAAAGATATCCCAGAAGAAACCGAAGAAAAAATCTTAGAGCATGGGCATAAATTCAGAATAAAATAAATGCTAATAAAAGAAAAAAAAAAGATACAGTAGTACATCTGTATAGGGCACTTACCATGAATGGCGCTTGCAAGGACTGGGTGTTGCTTTGGGTGAGTCAGTGAGTGAGTGGTAAATGAATGTGAAGGCCTAGAATACTACTATACACTACTGTGGACTTGATAAACACTATACAGTTGGGGTCTACAAAATTTTTAAAACAACATGAAATTAAATCAAGCACAAGGGAAAATGATGCAGTCAAGAGATGCTATAAACATGAGATGTATGAAGCTGCTGCCAGCGTAAAACGGCATGCTGTTTTACAGCAAACTTATTTATGTAAGTGGAAAGAGTACACTCTAAAATGACACGGAAACTAGTAACATAGCCACTGATTATCATTATCAAGTATAATGTACTATATATAACTATGCTATGCTTGTATACAACTGGTAGTACAGTAAATTTGTTTACACTCGTATTACCAGAAGCATGTGAATAATGTGTTCTGCTATGGCTAAAACAGCACTAGGTGATAGGCGTTTTTCAGCTCCAAGATAATCTTATAGGATCACTGTTTTATATGTGGTAAGTTGTTAATTGAAATATATGTGGTGTATGATTATATATTTTATATTATTGTATCCCTCGAATTTAGCATAGTGCTGGCACTCATTAAATGTTCATTGTATGGATAAACCAATAAAGGCACACTTGGGCTCAGTTCTCCACTTAACTTTGTGTGTTAATTTATCATATAAAGTTGTTTTCAGTGTGTTACACTCAAATGCTTCTGCCAACTGTAAGCAATTAGAGCTGGTTGAGCCTGAGTCCTTTTACTGGTAGGAAAAAATTTAAGGCCTTATCGCTCTGGCCGGTGGTTCAGTTTGTTGGAGCATTGTCCCATAACCAAAAGGTTGTGGGTTTGATTCCCAGTCAGGGCACAAACCTGACTGGGTTCAGTCCCTGGGCCGGGTGCCTAGAACCCCCCCACCCCCGAAGTGCGCACGGGAGGCCACCAATCAATGCTTTTCTCTTGCATCGATGTTTCTCCCTTCCTCTCCTTCTCCCTCCCTAAAAAAATAATGAAAAAATATATCCTTGGGTGAGGATAAAATATAAGACTTAAAGAATGTTTTGGCTTTATGGTATTAAGGAGTGCAAACACAAAAAAAAGGAAAAAAAGAAAACGCAATATAAATCAAATCATATATTTTTTTCCCCACTGGGTTTCTGACCCTTAGAATGTCAGTATTACACAATCAGCTGTGGGTATCAGAGCTGGAAGATAAGAGTTTCATTATAAATTGGTCCTTGCCTAAACAAAAATCTAAAATATTTATTAGTTTCACTAGTAGGTTCTACCTTTGGTTGAGAAAAGAATGGACATTGTCATTGTCTGACTTTTATATCTTTTTTGGAAGGTAGGAGAAAAATACACTAGGGTTGAATTCTGCTTTCAGGAATCTAGCTCCATAAGACTTATCATCTCTTTCTCTAGTGACAACTAAAAGGATATCCAGATATGTCTCCTAGAGGAGCCTGATTGGATAGTACCTATGGGTGGGATGTACTTATTAACTGTATAATAGCATAAGATATATCACCTAACATATTACCTGTGTTCTGAATTTAAAGGAGAATTTAAAATCAGTAGCCGTTCCCTGCTTTAACCTATGCTTTCATTTACCCAAAAAAACATAAAAAGGCTTTTATTAAATCCTTATTTTAATATAAAATTGGAAGCCTAAACCTTTGGGTTATAATGAGACATGTATTTCGCATTGGTCCAGAACTGTTTTAATTTTCTTGAAGAAGCAGGGAGGGGGATATATATGAAAAGAAACTAAAATATGTGAACGTTATTTGGAACCTGACTCAAAACAGAGTGAAAAGGAAAACCTTAGAACAGGGAGGGAAGTTTGAACTGTATCCGAATACTTTTAAGACCAGAATTACTGTTCATTTTTTTAGGTGAGATAATGTTCTTGTCCTTATATTTTTATTGGCACATACTGTCACTTTAATGATATAGACTGAAATATTTACAGTTGAAGTGACTTCTGGCCTTTGCTGTGTGATGGTCTGTGAGGCAGTATTGAGGATGTTGGATGAAATAAGATTGTCTATGTGTTTGATAATAGTTGAAGCTGAGTGATAAGATGCATAGGGTTTCACTATGCTGTTCTCTACTTTTTTGTGTCCGAAGCTTTAAACATTTAAAAAAAAAAAAAGAATTCCATCTTCATGTTTGCAGTCAGTAATGCATTGGCACCACTAAAAGGAGAGTGCTTTTGATCATTTCCTTGCCAGGTTTCTGGAGAAGAGTCTCTAGTATTTTTTCATAATTTGTTAAAGTTTCTTTTAGTTTTTATATTTGTCTCACCTGGTTTTGCTATCATAGTCCTTAATAATTCCTTTTTCAAAATCCCTGCAGTCACCCTGACTGATGTGGCTCACTAGGTTGGGTGCCATCCCTGCAAACTGAAAGGTTGCTGGTTCGATTCTTGGTCAAGGCGCATGCCTGGGCAGTGGGCCAGGCCCCCAGTTGGGGGCATGAGAGAGGCAACTAATCAATGTTCTCTTTATTCTCTTTATGTTTCTCTCCTCTTTCTCCCTCTCTTCCAGCCTCTCTCTAAAAATAAATAAATAAAATCTTAAGAAAAAAATCCCTGCAGTCATTTAATTAAGATATAATTGTTATTGGTCTTAATAGGACTTATTTTTCATACTTCTGTTTATTTGTATATTTTTTGTAGTTGTAAGATCCCAAAATGAATCAAGGTCTTATTAATTCTAAATACAGTAAGATGATTATTCTGTTCTTTGTGCATTGTGGCAAAATATATACTTTCTAACAACAGACAGTGATCCTTGACTTTTCCTATGTCCTTTTTTTCTTCTACAGTTCTGATAAAATTACACATTGATATGTCTAGTTCCTTGAGATATTTATTAGATAAAGAGAAAGTTAAAATATACCTTATATATAAGATGAACAAATGTGTGTTGTTAATGTAGATACAAAGGTTGACAGATTCAGAAGCTCTTTGAGTGTTCATGTTTCATTTTAATGCTTTCACATAATTGGCATTTGTAGATACCTTTAAAAAGGTATATCAACATTTATGTTATAACATTTAATATACATATATTTGAAATCATGACATTTTATATGTGATTTTTTTTCTTTTCTAGAGTGAGTCTTTGGTGGTTTGTGATGTTGCTGAAGATTTAGTGGAAAAACTGAGAAAGTTTCGTTTTCGCAAAGAAACAAATAATGCTGCCATTATAAGTAAGCTAAAAGAGATTGCTCCAGTTACATGGTGTTAGTTTGTTTATATCTTACAGCTACATTGAATAAACTGAACTTAGATTTCATTCTCCCCCACCTTTGCACCCTTATTTCAAGTCTAGACTCATACTCCAGTTCCATGGAGAGTATGTGTAAGCGTCACTGACTTCTGACAATGGAATGAATGATTTGAATATTGCCTTTCCCGCTGTGTGCTTTATCTGATGTTATGCAGATTTCTTTTATATTCTTAGGTAATACTTAATATATGGGTGTAATTTAGAAAGCTAAAGGAAGGATTAGGTGGGTAAAATGTGAAAGTGTAGAGATTATGCTTAACAGAGATCATCTGGCAGATGTGAATTAATGAGGTGTGACAGCTTATCATGAATTCTGGTTCTATTACAAATAAATACTGTAACATAGAAACACAGTTATTAAAGGTGAAAATGTGTGTCAGTGCCATCTGGTCACAGAAAGGTAAAGCTATTTGAGATCATATTGTTTCTCACAGGATTTACTATGAAATTAGTGTAAAACCAAAAATGGCCAACTTTCCTGATAGAAAAGAATAGAGACATTGATTATCTAACACCATTTTTACTGAGCTTTGGATTATGTTACACATATTTGAATATAGATACCACTGCTATTTATTATTCACTTTCTCAGAATACTCACAACTGCACCATGAAATCCTGACTCTGGAGAAGGTGGGAATTTGACAGTTGTTCTATCCTGACTCCTGGTTCACTTTCCTTTTATGGTTCTAACCATGCTGCATAGACCAACCTCAGTCACAGTCACCCTTTCAGACCTTTTCTTACTGCATTTGAGTTACAAATTTCTCCATATACACAATAAGTGTGTATGGAGTTGACATAAAGTTCTAAATAAGCAAAGCAAGTAATGGGAATTATGGGTAAAAGCTTTTAAATACTGATTTCTTGAAAAGCTAAGCTAGCTAATAGACCATGAACTTAAACTGTAAATACATTTCGTATGCTTGTGTTTCTGGATGTTTTAATTTTAGATGCCATAAAAGGGGCTGAGACTCTGTGGGTGGAGTAGATTGAGGTCACATTAGAATCACAGTTTAGTGCTCGCTTTGGCAGCACATATATTAAAATTGGAATGATACAGAGAAGATTAGCACGGGCCCTGCGCAAGGATGACATGCAAATTCGTGAAACGTTCAATATTTTTAAAATGGATATAATTTTTTAAATATTTTATAATGGATCTTAACATTAGAAAGAAAGAAAGAAAGAAAGAAAGAAAACCTGTATTTAAAAAAAAAAGAAAGAAAGAAGGAAGGAACTACCTTTTGTGACAACATGGATGGAACTGGAGAATGTTATGCTAAGTGAAATAAGCCAGTTGGTGAAAGACAAATACCATATGATCTCACCTATAAGTGGACTCTATTCAACAAAATAAACCACAGGCATAGAAACACGGAGCAGACTGAAAGTGACCAGAGGGGATAGGGAAGGAGGATAACGGTGGAAAGAAGGAGAAAGGACTAGACAAAGAACATGTATCCCACGCATCCATAGGGACAATGACCCATGGACATGGGCAACAGAGTGGGAATTGACTGTGGGAGCGGGGGGTGGGGTGGGGTGGGTGGAGGAGGGCAAAGAGGGACAAATTGAGACAACTGTAATAGAGTAAACATGATTTAAACATTTTTTTAAAAATCACAGTTTACTCATACTATATTTTTATTTTAGTGAAGATTGATAAGGATAAGCGCCTGGTGGTACTGGATGAAGAGCTCGAGGTTTGTTTGATCAGCTAAATATAGTTTTATATATAGTTAAATAATTATTGCCCAAAAGATGTTATATTAGTTACAGGTAATTCTAAAATGAGTTGTACACCTTTAAATCCACGCTCATAATGCATGAAAAATGTGCTAATTATTGTGCAGTTCTTTGTCTTGCTAATTTAATCACCTTCTTTAAAACAATAGTGAACCAGTGTAACAAGTGCTAGGAGTTAGGGCTGTACGTCCAGTAATTGTAATTACAGGGTCAACTTTATAACTTGCTTCTAAATTGCTTGGCCAGTAATTGAAATCTAAAACCCTATAACCTAAATATTTAGTTCGTCAAATTAAGTAACTAATTTAGGATAAAAAGAAATGAACTACCCTCCCTGCCCCCGCTGTGCCCCACCACCGCCCCACCGGATCAGGCATGTTGTTTCTGCTGAGGGGTTGGCGAATGTCAGTATTTCCTGACAGCTGGAACATGAGCATAGGCTCCTGTGCCTCTCAGCATATTTAGTTATTAAACAGCTAAATTGGGTGGGCTGGGCTGGGCTTTCCTTAGATCAAGGGTTCAGGAATCTCAGCTTGTGTATAACTTAGTAAAATAAAATTTTATGTTGTGGTGCATGGTTACGAATTTATACCTAGTAGTAGAATGGGTGCTTGGTCTATCTCTTAAGGATATGGGTAAAAAATGTTTAAAAGTTGCTTTTCTTTGTTACGCCAGGGCATTTCACCAGATGAACTTAAAGATGAACTACCTGAACGACAACCTCGATATCCTTTTCTTAGTGCTTTAAAAAGATTTGTTTTCTTTTAGTGGTCCCTATTTCATTTATAAAGTTTATTTTTTCAACTTTTAGAAGACATATTTTAACAAAATTTTCTTCTATACCATAATCACAATCAAAATAAAATATATATGTACATATTGAACCAAGAAAAATGAAAAGTGGATGTATTGATGTGATGAATTATTTCCTTTTTAAAAATCCATTTATTATTGTGTTTATAATGAAAATGAGAAAGATTTTAAAATCTATATTAAATCCATACTTTTAATACATTTATTTTTGAGAGACTATATGATTTTATAACCTATCATGGGGCCTATTTATAAATTTGTAGAAAGATAATAATGAAGGTGTGGCCTAAATGGGTATGTTAGAAAGTTACTACTCACTAACTCCCCAGGTGTTTGTTCCAAAATTTTGTTGGTAAGTTCTTATCTTAAATAAAGCAGTAATTTAATTTCTTTAACTTGAGAAAAACCTTCATTGTGTATAGTTATAAATATCAACATGATGATGGAAGAGTTTCATATCCTCTGTGTTTTATTTTCTCCAGTCCTGTTGGTAAGTGAATTTCTTTAGTGCATATTTGTTTCTGATCTAATTAATAAACCATTTTTTAATACTGGACAAATTGTATGCTTGTTTTAAAGATGAAATGTATAGACTAAACCAAAATTGAGTTGTGTGTGCATGTGCATACACCCATGAATGCATACCTAGAAATAAGTTACTGCAAAACATCATCTCTTAGAATTTGCTTATTTTCTTAGGATAAATTCCTAGAAGTGTAATTGTTAGGTCAGATCATACACACGTTTGAAGGAATTTGAAATGTAATGACATTTTAAAATACCAAAAATACATTTTCTCCTATACTTTTTAAGTGTGAACTTTGTGTATAATCATGATATACACACACATACACATTGATCTTTAAAATAGTAGTTACCTGTAACATGCCTATCATCTTGAGAATAGTTCCAAAGTAGCTTACATTGGATATTAAAATGGCTTATTGGTATTTAGGGTATCACCAAAATTCTCACTAGTACCACCGTTCAAACCCACAGTAAAACCTCTACTCAATGAACGCTTCTCTAAATTTTATTATTTGTATCATTTATTTAGCACTTAAAATATACTGCAGTATATATTTAACTTAATAGCCAATGAGACTGTGACTGTTTTCAGGGCAGATCTCTCCACCCTGCTGACCCATCACCACCCCAAAACCGTATTTGTGTTAGACATCCATAAAATTGAACTTGATATTTTTTGACTTTATCAAAAATAAGAAAATGCTAAAAAGCTTTTAAGTGTTTGCAAGGATTTAAAAGTCAAGATCTATAGTGGTCTAGCCTCATTTATTTTTCCTGACATAAATCTTGTTTATTTGTAATTTGGCTATGACTCTTCATACGGTATGCAAGTAAGACTCTCAGAATCACACTTAGGCTGAGGTTTTTATAAACTTGAAAGTATAGGAACTCCTAAGTGTGTTATTTTTTAAAAGTAAATAATGAAAACCCATTACTTTTTCAAAACCTGTCTCTTTTTTTATACAAATCTCTTCCAGGTTGTAAGCCTGAACAACAGATGATGTATGCTGGGAGTAAGAATAAACTAGTTCAAACAGCTGAACTAACCAAGGTGATATTTACATTTCACTTGCTTTTTGAGACAATACTTTCACTTAGCATCCAGTAGTTCCTTCCCATCTGCAGTTTCACTTACCACAGTTTGTTACCCGTGATCAACCATGGTCCAGAAATATTAAATGGAAAATTCCAGAAATAAACAAGTCTTAAGTTTTAAATAGCACATGGCTCTGAGTAGCATGTTGAAATCTGCCTCCTTTCCAGGATGTGGACCCATCCCTTTGTCCAGCAAATGTGTATACAGTGTACACATATCCAGCGTCTATACCTAACCCACCTGTTAATCACTTAGTAGCTGTTTCAGTTATCAGATCACTGTCCACAGTGCTTGTACTCAGGTTACCCCTATTTTACTTAATAATTACCCCAAAGCGCAAGGGTAGTTAGTGATACTGGCAATTCAGATATGCCAAAGGGAAGCTGTAAATCGCTTCATTTAGAAAAAAGATATATATATATATAAGCATAGTATATATAGGGCTCCATACTATTTGCAGTTTTAGACAATCCAGTAGGGTCTTGGAATACTTGGAATGTATCTCCTGAGGATAAGCAGGACTATTGTACAGAGCAATAGCTAAAATCATCTGAAGAGTTAAGTATTTTTCATGCAGCTGAACACTGCCTGGCATGGGGCAGTAAATTAGTCAAAGCTTTTTGTTAGTTGAAAATAGAATGATAGAAAGCTTGAACCAAATGTGTATTTTTTGGATTGGGATTACAAATTCATCGGAAGAAACCACATTAAAAAGGTAGGCAGCTTTAGAAAAACCAGTGTAACTACTTAATCTATTAAGAGTTCTCCTCTGTGGAGAAGAAAAGCCAGTGTAACTACTTAATCTATTAAGAGTTCTTCTCTGTGGAGATGCTGTTTTAAGGACAGCATCTGTGTTTACCCCTGTGTGCTTAGTCAACCCAAGGGATGACTTTAAGTGCCCTCTGCTTTTTCCCGTTAGCCTATATGATTGTCATTGATACCACCAGCATATAGACCCTACTTTTCCTCATTTCTGCCGTAGGAATTCCCTGGAATGCTGCAGAGGCTTGGGTGTTTTACAGCAGCTCTGCTAACAGCCTGAAGTCTATTCTAATCCTGGGTTGGACCTAACATGCTGGAATTAAGACATTATAATTTACAAATTACTTTTACAAATAATCCCATTGAGCCTTTACCATAGCCTGTGAGGTTCATGGTGGTATTTCTATTCTGTAAATGGGAAAACCGAGGTTCAGAGGATGGGTGACTTGTCCATGGTTGCATAATAAATGACAGAACTAGGCTTCAAACTCACATCTGCCCTCAAATCCCATTCTGTCTGCTGTATTACATTTTCTCTCTATAGCCATTATACTTTCTGGGGCCTGTGTGTGTGCAGACTCTTGCTGGAGATTTGTAGTTGTGGACCTCTAGCCCACCTTTCTCAAAGCAATCTACAGCTAGTCCAGCATATTTTCTTTTAGCTCTTAGCTAGACTGATTTACTTGGGTTGTCTCTTTTAGTGGATGGGATTTACAAAATTGCTCACTTGTAAGAGAGTCTTGGTATTATGCCATCTTAATCTCTAAACTTTGGTAACTGAGTACTGAGTACTTAGTACTTTTAAAAAAGTGAACTACCTCCCAAATGGTCTATCCAATTTATACAAATTAAGTCATGATCAATATGAAAGGAAGGAGAATTTGGAATTTAATACTCAAATATATAATCTGATTTTTTTTAGAGTTTCGGAGTATAACATGTTTTTTTTCCTTAAGGTATTTGAAATAAGAAATACTGAAGACCTAACTGAAGAATGGTTACGTGAGAAACTTGGATTTTTCCACTAATGTGAAGTTCTGTGTTTCTAAAGTATTTATGTATTAACCTGACCATACTGGAACCAGACATAAATACTTATTTATGCCTAAAAATGCACTGTTACTTACAGTTTGTTTCCTGCAGTAAAAAAAAATTTTTCATTTGTTCAAAGTTTGGACAAAGAGGACATCATCTTCATAGTAATGAAACTTTGTAAAATGTTCCTTATATTTGTAATTGTTAGGTGGATTACTTCTCTCCAGGGACTTTTTGCACTCTTGTGACTAATTTCTATAACTTATGGTTCAGAATTTGTTACTGTTTGCAGATACCATCAGAAAGTGGGTATTATGAGAGACAACAGTTGCCTCCTTTTGACAAATACTGGATATTAGCAGTTTATATATGAAAATAGTATATTATCACTTGTCAAAAATTCGAAATTGATATGGGGTAAAAGACTTGAGCGACCCAATTTTGAGCCATGAATAATAATTTACTATAGTGTAACCTGCATTACAAGTACATTTTTCATCAATTCTATTCCTTCTATGGTTTCCTGTATCTTTGTAATCAAGTCCAGAAACGTTGTTCATCAGTCGCTTGCTGTTAAGGTCGGAGAGTTAGATTTTATAATAATTTTGACTGTTGTTATGGAAAATAGCATCTTAGGAATAGATGGGTTGTGACTAATCAAGGGCTTCATTCCTGGTTTTGTCATTTCTAGAGAGTTTTGAATCTAGGTTAATAACACCTTATTTATAAAGCACCTCTTAATGTTGTCCTGTGAAAACTAGTTATTTTAAATGTGTTAATACTGTGCCTTTGATTTATTAGCTTTAAAGTTAGTTTAAGATTTTTTCACTGCCAGTATTCCAGATTTGGTGAAATTAATACTTTTGTAAAGGGTCCAAGTAAAACAATTTTCTAATGTGTATCTGAAATTTGTAATAAAATCCACTTCGTATTTTTAAAATTCCAACTATCTGCTTGCATTGGTGAATATATGGCAGTTGAGAGTTCTAATTTTGGGTCTATCTTTAATTAGTTTTGTGCCATAGGAAAAAAATTGCTTATCTTATAACCTTGGCCATAGTTAATATTAACACTCAATAAAAATTGCATTTTATATCCTAAATTTCAGAAAGTATTCTAAATTAAACACCTGTCTTGTTAGATGATGGCATCCTTGGAATAGAGCAAGGATTCTAATATATAGTATACTTTAAAAACAAATGAGTAACTTTAACATTAATTTGACAAAAGGTCTTGAGCAAAAGACTAAATTTGGTGAGTGAATTCTTATATTAAGAATATCTTAGTGACTTCAAAACTAGCAAAGGCATTTTTTCGTGTTGGCATATTTTCTGCTCATATGTTCTTTGCATTTTTTGAGGTATTTGTGCCAACTTTAACAAAGATATAAAGATAGTTGGAATTTTCACAATATTGAATAGAGCATCTTCTGTTCCCAATGCTGTTTGGCTTCACTAATCTAGAAACAGGAAGCAATAGGAAGTTAGTTGGAGATGAGGAAGTGCTAGAGTGGGTATTTGTTTTGGTTAATGAATGGGAAGTATTCTTTATTCCAGTTTCCAGAGAGAGAGGGAAAACATCATCAGGAATTTAAAGAATTCTTTAAACAGCTATTTTGATATTGGAGAATAACGCTTATAATTCTGCAGAAATGTAAATGTAATCCAAGTGAATTTAATGTAATCCAAGAGTGCTTTTAATATTTTGAATGAAGGGAATAAGACTTATTTCAGCTGGCTCGCAGCAGTAAAAGAAACTAGTGCTGCAAGAATGTATTTTTTAAAGAGGTTCCTTATTTTTGTCTTGCACATTTTAGTTTTGAAAGTCCTCTATAATGTCAGATAATCTTGACCGCCATCCACAGAACTGTTAGTTCCCTTGTTCTGTAACACGGGCAAGTAACTGATAGACCACGGGTTTGGTTTTTGGGTTTGTTTTTTAGCTTGTCTGCTTTGTATCCGTGTTTTGCGAGACAGTAGATTGGAGGTTAAGGGATAAGAACATTTTTTTACTCTCTCTGTGTTATAGGGGGATTTACAAATCCCAGTTCGAGTGTTCTCAGACTTTTATATAAATTTCCCTTCCATCTAACCAAATTTTGCATTGTTTTTCTCAAGTACATTTCTTACTTGAGCTCCTTTTCTGTCTTCTCTCAAATAGTAACTCCAGATTTCATAATTCCAGTTTTCACATTCCTTAACTTTCTGGTACAACCATTCCCATTCAGCCTTAAATCCTAATCTTTCCTTTTTGGCAGCAGTGTTTTTCCTGGGAACCTCCCTTCACGGTCTTCTCAGTAAGCATTAGTTTTGAAATTGTTGGCCCTGAATAAGTTCTGCGTAGCATCTAATGTTGTCAAAATAGAACCAGCTAAGAATCACAGCATGTTTTTAGTATGACTGTTGTGGCAACGTAATGACATGAAGAAAACTGTTCTCAGGTTACTCTGCTGAAATTCCAAAACGTTGAGTTTTGAATAGTAATCACTCTGTTCTGGTATTGAAGCAATTGTGTTAGGAAAAAAAGTTGGTCGACTGTTTTTGTTAAATTGACTTCTAAAATAAATGTTCAAATTGTCTATTTCTAAAAAGTTTACTAAATGCCTAGGGCAGTTAAACATACTCTTGTTTAAGAGGGTGTTGCTAAATTTTTTTATTATCATTACTAAATAATCTTTGTAGCAAAATGTCTGTCAGCACTTTTCTCTCCCTTTTTATCTCCTATTTTCAGGAGTCAAACGTAGCCATAAATTGTATTCTGGTCTGTCACTTTAACTAAAAATTTCCAGTTAGAGGAGTTTATTGCCAAATTAAATTTGGCTGTCTTTATTCCCCACCCATATAGATAGTAATGAAGGTGTACTTTAAAAAATGTTTGGACTACTTTAAAACCCGAGCAGTGTCATTAATCCATAATGTGGACTAGTTAGGGATGGATAGATATTTTCATAAGAGTTTAAATGCTGATATTTCGTGGAAGAGGAGAGTAACTCATATTTTATCAGTTCGGATATTCTTAGTATGGTTGCTTTCCCTATTTGTTCAATAGACTGATGATACTGGAATCTACAGAATTTGAGCCTTTAAAACCTATGTGAAGAAGTGTCTCAAACATTTCTGGACAAATCTTATTCTGTATTTCTGGAAGAATGTAAACCTTCTAAGCCACTTAACACCGATGGTCTCAAGTTGAATATTCTTGAGAAATTTGTTTCTTCTTATACCATTCGATATTTTAAATCAGTAATCACGTTCCTATAATATTTAAAACAACTACATTAAGACTGTGATAGAAACTGTGTTGTCTTGCTTTTTTTGGAATGTAGTTCATACACATATAATTACTTGAATATTGTTTGAGATCACTAACATGCCAGGGCAGTTCCCACTGATTTTTTAGATGGTCCAATATAATCTCATTCAGGAGGCTTGAAAAATTAATGGTTTAGTCTTGTGAATTTTAACAGTTCCCTGTCACCATTTAACACAAGTAACAACTGGCACAACTTCTGAAGCTGTGGTTTCAGTCTCTGCTAGTTCATATTGCATGTTTATTTTGGACAGTCTTCTGTTAAGCATGGTGCTTGTACTGGTTTAAATAAAATGTTAACATGAAAGGACTTCTGGTTTTTCATTTTTTACTCTCCTTCTCTCCCCTTTGGAGTTACTATTACCTGCCTGGCTCAATTGTGGCATTTGTGTGAACCACACAGTTAGAGCAGTTTACTTTATCTGGAAAAACTGAGACACAAAATAAATGGGAATCACTTGGCAATGTACGATTGGGGAAGGGAAAATATAATGAGATTATAAAATTTTCTAATATTTGGTCTCATGCTAAAATTATTCATTTATAGCAGCTGGAGACTTTATTTCAAATGATGAACTTGCTTTCAAAGGAAATACTAGATGTTGGACGTGTTGTGTCTCTCCTAAGAAGTCAACATAAAGGTTCTTTATTATAGAGTATTGTTTATCACTATTAAACATCCATTGAAGACCCACCCTGCTATTATAGACTATTCAACATAGTATGTGTTTCATAGGTATCTGTTGAATGAATAAAATTTACCAAGACTTACATAGTGTTTGCCACATGTGTCCTATGATTGAGTGAATGGTGATAGTCACAGTATATGCATATTTATGGTTGTGAAAGGAGTAGTTTATGCCTTCCTATCTTGAGGAATCTCACTGGGAAAATTGACCAGAGTGAGGGAAACATATCTTCCTTATTTCTCAAATTTGGCCGTTTAGCTAATTGGCCAGCTCCTAAATTTTTTCGCCTTTCTTGCCTTTTTGCCCCTTTCACTTTTCAGCAGCAAAAAGGATCTGTAATCATTTAACCTCGCAGCATGGGCCCACCCTCTTTTGCATGAGGCCATACCCTGAGTGGATATGGTATCCCTGTACAGTATATTTTTAGCCATGTTGGGGAGCCAGTTGGATTAAGATCTTATTGCCGAGCATCAGGGAGTTTTCACACAGGTCTCTTACCATTGAGCTCTCCTAGGCTACATGAAAGCTCCTTAATGAGGTAGCCCACTTTTCCAATTACAAGGAAGAAAAAGCAGAATGCCTTGGTTGCATGCAAAAGCCACCCGTAGTGCCCAAATCCAGCGAGGTTCTGTGTGTGCGTGTGTGTGTGCGTGTGATGTCTAGTCTCCGTTATGCACACAATTAAGCATAGATTCTCTTGTCCTGGACTGGCAAGTCCATGTTTTGGTCCATACCTTACCTGTAATGCAGAAGCACATCCAAATAGGCCACAGGCCTTTGTTAGGGAGAAATGCCCCAGCATCTGCTCCTTGCTGAAGAGGCAATTCTTTAGGCAGCCGTTACTTGTCCCAAATGGATGTACCTTCCTGTCCCTAGCCTCCTCCCCACTGTTAATACACATGCTGTCTTGGGTCCAGCCCCTGCCTATGGAACCCAAGGGCAGCCAGCCTGTGTGATACTGCCTGACTGGTACCAAAAATTGAGCTGGGCTATCCCTGACTGATGCAGCTCGGTTGGTTGGGTATCGTCCAGCAAAGCGAAAGGTCACTGGTTTGATTTCTGGTCAGGGCACATGCCTAAGTTGCAGGTTGGGTCCTGATTAGGGCGCATATGAGAGGTGATCAATATTTCTCACGTCATTGTTTCCTTCTCTCCCTTCCCCTCTCTCTAAAAAATAAAAAATAAAGACCTGGGCTAGTCTATTACTATAAAGTACCTTCAATTTCTGACATTGGGAAAATGATCTCGTTCTCTTGAATGAGGCATTTAGCAGTGGGAGCTGAACTTGGAAGAAGGCCATTAGATGGAAAAGAAGCCATGTGCAACCTACTGAGCAGAGGGAAAGATGCTTCCAGCTGCAGCAGTACAGAATGAAGCAGGCAGGCAAAGATGGAATCCTGGAGTCCTAAATTGAAGAGACACTCCTGCCTGGTAGGTTCCTACTGCTAACTCTGATCCCGGGCCAGTCTTCAGAGTCTCATCCTTCTGAGGCCTAGTGGACAGCACTTTCTGGGTAACTGTGTGTCCTGTTACCAGAAACAATACATGTGGCCATGTCTGTTTATGAGCATACAAAGTGCCTAACTCTAGTGCTACCTCTGGTTTCATCTGCTCCTATTCCCTACATTTACACTAACTCCAGCCTAACTAAACCACCTTCTATACAAACATGCCCTGGGCTCCTCCTCCACCAACAGAAACACCTCTTTCCCGTGCTGCTATTGCCTGCCCAAATCAAGTTTCAAGTAGCCAAAGAACTTACATGCATGACCCACGGACATGAACAATGGTGTGGGGGTTGCCTGAGGGAGTGGGGTTGCTGGGTGGAGGGGGGCAAAGGCCCTGCCTCACTCCAGTGGTGGGGTCGGAGAAGGCACAACATAAAGGAGCAGAAAGAGACAACTGTAATAGCATAGTCAAAATAATTGTTAAAAGTCATCTCAAATACCATTTAAATCATGAAGTCTGTTTGTTGAACTAAATGTAGTACCTTCTTTAAAAATCCATGAAACTTTTACTACACAACTAATATTAGAGAATTAGGAAATACAAATAAGCAAAGGGAAGAAAAACTTTACCACCCCAAGAAATCCACTGTGACATTTTTGGTCATCTCTTTCCCTGTGTCTGGAGGAATCCCCAGGCCTCATAGTTACTCTGTTCTCTTAAGAATTATGGAACTATGTTCATTTTTTCAGGTAATAAGAATTCCAATCTAATCTAATTTCAAAACCTCAGTATCTTATTTTCTTTAAAGCTCTGTCCCTCCACCTCCCTTCCCCCCACTTCACCCCCTTTACGCGTGCTGCAGGCTGGGAAATTCCCTGTGGGGGATGGGATATGTCCTCTCCTTTATCGCCCTGCCTCACTCCAGTGGTGGGGTCGGAGAAGGCACAACATAAAGGAGCAGAAAGAGACTTACTAACCTGGGGTGGGTGCCCTCAGGGGTGTGGCCAATGTCAAATGCGAGCTTTTCCCCCCACCAAGTGCTTTTGTGGGTTCCTTGCCCATTCCCCCACTGGGACTTGAACTCTGTAGCCCTTGACTTGGCCCATACCTCCT